AATTTCAGAAATTCAAAACTGAAAACTCTAAAAGCTTCCTATAAGGTAACTAGAATTAATTTGGCATCAGACTTTTCATCAGCAACATTAAAAAACAATGGAGACAGAAAAGAGATTACCTGTTGCCTTAAAGCTGGGGGATGGGCGAATTGGTGGGAATGGAGAATGACTGCTAATGAGTGATAAAAATGTCCTACAACAGACTGGGGTGATGGTTATACAACTCTATGAATATATTAAACACCACTAAATTGTACATAGTATGGTATACGAATTATGCCTCAATAAAACTGCTATTTTTTTTAAAAGATAGTGGAATACTGTCTTCATTGTCTGGGCAAAAATGACTCTGAATCTGGAATTTTACATTCAGGCAAACTACCAGTCAAGTATGAGGGCAAATGAAAACTTTTTTGGACATGTTAAGTTCTCAAATAATTTAACTCAATAGAAATCATTTATCTGAAAACATTCCTATTTTTTGACCTAGGAATTCCACTTCTAGGAATTTTACCAATCTCTCACAAAATTGGAAAAATGAGTGGGTCCTGGTCCCAGCATTTACAGAGATAAAACAAATGATTCACCAGGTTAAAAAAAAAATTAACTGATTTTTTAAGGCACCATTTTTTACATATAACAAACACAAAACTGACATGAATAAGTTGGTCCAAAGCCAAGAAAAAATAATAGGAAATATACCCCACAAAAAGCCATGTTTCTAGCTAGAAAGTTAAAGATAGTCATTGTGGCTATATGGTAAGCAAGGGGAGAGTAGAAACAGGATGGATATCAGAAAGGTTAGGCAAGGTGCCAGGTTATGAAGGGTCCTGAAAGCCATGGTAGTTTGAATTCTATTCTAAGAGCAATGAGAATCTAAAGTTTCAAAAACAGGTACTTGTGACATAATCTGATTTATATTTTAATTACTAACAATTAACATCTGATATGGTTTGGATCTGTGTCCTGACCCAATCTCATGTCAAGTTGTAATCCCCAATGTTGGAGGTGGGGCCTGGTGGGAGGTGACTAGATCACGGGGGTGGATCCTTCATGAGTAATTTAGCACTATCCTCCTGATGCCATCCTTGTGATGAGTGAGTTCTGAAAAGATCTGATTATTAAAAGTGTGTAGCACCTCCCCTACCCCTTGCTTCTGCCATGTAAGATGTGCTTGCTCTCGCTTTGCTTTCTGCTATGATTATAAGTTTCCTGAGGCCTACTCAGAAGCTGAGCAGATGCCAGCATCATGCTTTCTGTATCGCCTGCAGAATCACCTGCCAATTCAACCTCTTTTCTTTATAAATTACCCAGTCTCAGTTATTCCTTTATAACAATAAGAGAACAGAAAATATACTATCCCATTTTACAGATGAGCATATTGTGGCACAGGTGTTAAGTATACTGCTCAAGACCACTCAGCTGGTAAATGATGAAGTCAGGATTTAATTCTAGACAATATAACTCTAGAGCAGTATATATTATAGTACCTCTAAATATCCCTGTAGTGGAGAATGGATTATGGTGGGCCAAGAATGAATGTAGGGAGTAAGATTAGTTGAGACTATGGTTTTGTTAAGCAAGAGATCATTGCATGGACCAAGGTGAAAACAGTGGAGGTAGGGCTACTGGATTAGACATGGAGGAGGAGTGAGAGAGAAAACTAAGAATTAAGGCTGATTCTGAAATTCTGATGTGTGTAACAGGGGTGGACAGTGATGCCATGAGGGAGAGAAATGAAATATTACATCATCAACAGGAGAGACTGATTAAATGATCAAGAAGGCAGCTGGTTATGCAAGTTTGGAACCCAGGAGGAGAGATGAAGCTGAAGACCTATTTGGGAGTCACTACTGGGAGGCAATACAAGGGAGTGCAGGCTAAGAAGGTTCAGCCCTGGGGGCCATAAACATTTACAAGAGAAACAAAAAATGGCTGAAAAGAAAGAAACAGACACCGAGGTAGGAGGAAAAAATACTTAGTGAAGAAAATTTATTAGATAAGAATAGGAACATATAACAGTGGTAGAAGGCATTAGGAACGGTAGGATTCGTATATCTGTACATATATGGTCATTCATATTTACACACATTTGCAGATGTAATTGGAGCTGGGAGATAATAAAGCATGTTTGTGGTTGAAGGGAAAATTCTATAGAGGGGAGAAAAATGATATGGAAAAGTGAGATGCAGAAAATATAAAATCTGAGTCACAAGTAGAGAAATCAGATTGTCAGGAGTGGTCTTTGATAACAACTGAAAGGAAGACAGAACGAGAGGAGCGATGCAGATAGGTCTATAGAATTGGTGGTGAAAAGATGACAACAGCTGCATTCAATTTCTCAGTAAAGTCTGAGGTTAACTCCACAGATAGGAGTGGGAGCTGTGGGAGGTTTGCAATGAGTGGAGGAAATGCATTCTTTTTTTTTTTTTCCCCCGAGACACAGTCTCGCTTTGTTGTCCAGGCCAGAGTGCAATGGCACTCTGCCTCAGTTTTCCAAGTAGCTGAGATTACTGACACATGCTACCACGCCCAGATAATTTTTGTATTTTTAGTAAAAAAGGGGTTTCATCATGTTGGCCAGCCTGGCCTTGAACTCCTGGTCTCTAGTGATCCATTTGCCTCGGCCTCCCAAAGCACTGGGACTACATGGCGTGAGCCACTGGCTCAGCCAGGAAACGCATTCTTAATCAGGAAACTGAAGAAGCAACTGCACTGCCAGACATTGTTGATGCCCTGTTGAGAGTTTTGGTATAAATTTAAAGCACTACATTCAATTGCCTAAGTGCAGGCAGGTAGTTGGCATTTTGTCAGGCCCATATAATAAAAGGAGAGAAGAAATAGAGAGTCGAAAGGATTAGTAATTTTTACAGTTATTTCATAATAGTATGTTAACCCTTAATTATGTGGATTGTGATGAAACAAACAGTTTCACTTGAGAATGGTAAAACTGTAATCTGGGGCCAGACAAGTGTCTACATAGATGGAAACTTTTTAAGGTTTAAGGAAAAGGTTGACGATTTAGGAGTTTGTTGATCATAGTTCTACAATCCTTTGGCCCGGTAGAAGGTGGGAAATAGAAACAGAGAAGTGATATTCACGAAATCAATAAGCAGAAACTATTCTAGCTTGGAGTTAAGCTTAGAAATCATCTAAAATAATCTAAAACTGAGTAAGAGGATCAAACATTTTTTTCTGGCTAATTAAGAACAGATTAAACCCTCAAGTTCCAGGGATGGCAGGGGAAGGGGTGGGGGGGAAACAGTACCATGAATGACTGTCCATAATGTCACACTGTCCACAAAGTCAATCACTAAATTTACTTAACATTTACAAATTCAACAATTGCTCACAATTACTATTCAAATGGGTCTTCAGTAAAACAGATCAAATTTCTGTCACACAGAACTAAACTGAAGGGGGCTGTATCTGGAGTAGGATTTAAATTGAATGGAAATATGTGAAACAATAGATGCAGTACAGGTTCAGGACTTTTAATTGTAAATATTTTTATGCACTGTAACAATATACACATTGGTTTCCTGCCTTTTGGTACAACTCCCAGTCACAACTTTCTCTCACTGTAACCTGCTTTCCCAAGTTACTCTCAGTTCTCCAAAACCCTGGGATACCATTCCAGAGTACCACATCCTATCATTCCAAAATTAAACGTCTGTGGGAAACATTGTCACAAATAACCGAGGCATGACAGCCTGTTAGGACTGTGAGCTGTGTGAATTTGGAATCTACTGTACTTGATCACTGTTTTACACCTAGCACCTAAGTATACTATCTAGCATGAAGCAGGTAGTTTATAAGTGCTGGCTATATAAAATATTAAAAACTTGGCCAGGTGAGGTGGCTCAACCTGTAATCCCAGCACTTTGGGAGGCGGAGATGGGGTGGTTCACTTGAGGTCAGGAGTTCAAAACCTACCTGGCCAACATGGTAAAACCCCGTCTCTACTAAAAATACAAAAAGTAGCCAGGTGTGGTGGCAGGCATCTGTAATTCCAGCTACTCAGGAAGTTGAGGCATGAGAACCGCTTGAACCTGGGAGATGGAGGTTTCTGTGAGCCAGAATCACCCCATTGCACTCGAGCCTGCATGGCAGAGCGAGATTCTGTCTCAAACAAAAAAAAAAGAAAAAAAAAAATAACTGTTGTTCAGGTGGCAGGCAGGATATACACAGTAGCTGTCTGCACATGTACAACTTAATCGAGGCTATTCATGCTGTTGTCATTCAACTAAGTTATCTGCACTGTTGGTATTACAAATGTTGGGATTAACTGCCACTTTAAAATATCTTCAAAAGATTACAATATGATTCTGCACTAAAACAAAATTCAAGTATACATAATCAAGTTACGAAGTATATAAATAAAAAGAGAAATTGTGACTGTTAACACAAGGAGGTAACTTTCATTGAAACTTGGTATATTTGACAGATCCCATTTAAATAGGGCCAACCAAAAAAGAAAGAAAGAAAGAGGATAAAAGAGGGCAAGGAGGAAAGGAAGGAAAGAGCATTCACCATTGCATGTAAATCACATCTGAGCATGGAAAGCAGTGGTGAACATCTGAATGGAGAGGAAAGAGAAATAATCAAAGGCTTTTTTTCTTGTCATGAAAGTATAGGAGAAAATACCAGACGCAGAGAACTTAGATGACATTCCCAACAGGAATTACAAACCTGTCACAAAGGAAACTTATGATAGTGATGAAGAACTTCAACTATTCTGACATCTGTTGAAAGTCTTAACTCTGCTTATTTTTATGAAAAAAATGAAGTTAATAATTCTTAACATGTAAGATACACATACTTTAGACTGACTTTTAAAAGAGAAACTCAAAAATAGAAACAGATTTCAAAAGTAAGTTTAAAACATTTCAAAATTATATGCTAAAATTTGAAAGGAAAAACACCAATTCCATACTTACTCATTAATATTAGACTATTTATAATAGTTATTATCTTTTCATAGCAGGAAAATGCCCTACCTGCAGCATAACAAAGGGCGCTCAGGTTCCAGGTAATCTTAGCATTAGAAGTCTTTGCAGGTAGCTCTCTTTACTTCCAAGTCTCTAGTGATATCCTCTTAGGTTAACTACGAAAAAAAAGCCTTATCTATCTTCCAACTAGTCTGCTGCCAGTTTTTGGTTTCCTGAACACAGCTAAAGCAAAAGAGAGAGGAAATAGAACCATAAAAGGATTTCTAAGCTTCATTGTGAACCTATATGACTATCATTCCCTAGTCAGTAATTCTGGCTCACTTTAAGTATTTTTTTTTCCTTTTACTTGTCCTAACAAGAGACATTACAAATCAAAATCGCTGCCTTTTATTTCTCACTAAAAACAAACAAACAAAAACTATTAACACATTTTGTTTAGATGCAAATCACATGTTCAAGAAAAACTCAGTCTTTTCTCCCAGATATTTGTATCTGGTCTAAACCTGGTAGAAAAGGGTAATCAGCGTACAGGGATTTCTGTCTGGACACTATGGCCAGAGACAGAATTACTCATAGTAAATTCTGGCCACCACAGGGACACAGGTTATACACATATACATATTAAGAAGTACACATATTCTCTAAAGCGAGGACTGCCTCGTTCACTTAGAAGTAGAAATTCATGGATTTTTATATTCAATATTCACTTTCTCCAGAAGAAACTCACTTAAGAATTGAGAAAACCTACTCTAACTTCCAATATTGATAATTTTTAACCTTCAGTAACCTTTAGACACCTAAGAAAAACCAAGAGCACAAAAAACAGACACACAATTGAACGAGGAGATGAGCTAAGGCATCAGAATTTTTTTAAAGCCAAAAAGTATAAGGATTTTTAAATTGTAGAGCTGTGCTGTCCAATCTAGTAGTCACTAGACGTGTATGGTTATTTAATTTTATATACATTAACATTAAATACAATATAAAATTTAGTTCCTTGGTCTCAGGCTACATTCCCAGCCACATGCAGCTACTGGCTAATATACTGAACAGCACAGAAAATTATATTGTATATAGTGCTATTACGAGGAGCTGCACTCATTAAACAACAATAATAAATTGCACAGAGGGTGGGCACAGTGGCTCACGCCTGTAATCCTAGCACTTTGGGAGGCCGAGGCAGGTGGATCACTTGAGGTCAGGAGTTTGAGACTAGCCTGACCAACATGGTGAAACCCTGTCTCTACTAAAAATACAAAATCAGCCGGTCGTGGTAGTGCATGCCTATAATCCCAATTACTCAGGATGCTGAGGCAAGAGAGATGTTTGTTTTGGATGCTCCAGTGGCTTTATTAACTCCCTCTTTCCATTGTGGCAGGACCTCATTAACTGGAGAGCTGAAAGAGAGGCCAAGAAGCTGTGGTCTCAGTATGGGTCATTAAAGGCGTACAGGGGATGCCCTGCATCCCTGGGGAATCTCTTTCCATCCACCATAAGTATAGGCACAATATATTGCCAATTTTTGTTCAGGGCATTTAGCTGCTTCATCTCTTCCAGGCTAAAGGTGAAGTCAAACACCTTGATGTTCTGAAGGATTCAAGAAGGAGTGATACTTTTGGAGATGCAGATCACTTTCCACTGGACCTGCCACTTGAGCAAGATCTGAGCTGGAGATTGGCCATACTTTTTCGCCAATGCCAGGACTACTGCTTCCTCCAGCAGGACAGGCTCATCAGAATCTCATCATGCACAATCAGAGGAGCCCAGAGGGCTATAAGCAGTTACCTCCAGGCCACATGCTTGGCAGTGTGCAATTAGCTCATTCTGCGTCAAGTATGAGTAGCATTCCACCTGCAAGACAGCTGGATGCACAGAAGTCACACTGAGTACGTTGTCAATCTGCCAACTGTTGAAGTTGGACAGGCCCAGCACCCGCACCGGCCCCTTAGCACCAGTGCCTTCAGAGTTTTCCAAGGCTCCTTGTAGTGGGTGGAGTCACAGCATATAGTCCCATCAGCATTCTTGGGGAAGGGGTTGTCTCCCTGCTCGAAGGCATAAGGCCAGTGCATCAGGTACAGGTCCAGATATTCGAGCTGGAGGTCAGCTAGAGTCTTCTGGAGGGCAGGCTCCACATCCTTAGGTGGTGCTTGGTGTTCCACAGCTTGGATGTCACAAACAGCTCCTCCCACGGCACTGCCTTGCCTGGTCCTACGTCCTCCTTCAGGGCCTCCCCAATCTCAGGCTCACCGCCGTAGATAGCAGCACAGTCAATGTGGCAGTAGCCTACACTAAAGGTATACTTAACAGTTGCTTTTAGTTGACTGGGCTCACTCTTCCAGATACCCAGACCAATCAAAGGCATCTTCTGCCCAGTGTACAGAACACAGGAAGCCGCCATTGTCCCTTTGGCATAAGCACAGAGCGTCAATAGTGTAGTGTGGCCTGGGCTCAGTTCTGCACCCTCAATTTACCAGGATATGTTTAATTTTGTATCTTTCCAGCACCCAGGCTGGAGTGCAGTGGTATAATTATGGCTCACTGCAGCCACCACCTCCTGGGATCAAATGATTCTTCCTCCTTGGCCTCCTAAATAGCTGGGAATACAGGCGCATGCCACCATACCCATTTTTTTTTTTTTTTAGTAGAGATGAGGTCTCACTATGTTGACCAGGTTGGTCTCAAACTCCTGAGCTCAAGCAATCCTCCTGCCTCAACCTCCCAAAGTGCTAGGCTTACAGGCATAAGCCACCATGTCCAGATCTTATTCATTCTTTGTTAAAAAAAGGAACTTTGATTCCGAAGACTCTTATTTGCCTTTTTGACTCAGGAGAAATTCTTAAATTTTTGTTATTTCTTCTTTTTTGTATTCTCATAAAATTTCTATTAGATGTATGTAGGATCATTTAATCTGTATTCTGTGATATTAACTTTACTCTCACAATTTTAGCTTTCATTTTACTTCATATTTTTTATTTCTTTTTTACTTTTTCGTCAAAGTACGATTTGGAATTTAGCTTTGTCCATTTTGCTAGTTAACTCTTCTTTTAGGTTTATTTCAACAAAGATTTAAAATTTCAACCTTGTTCTGTGCTATTTATTTATCTATTTACTTAAGATGGCGTTTTGCTCCTGTTGCCCAGGCTGGAGTGCAATGGTGCGATCTTGGCTCACTGCAACCTCTGCCTCCCAGGTTCAAGTGATTCTTCTGCCTGAGCCTTCCAAGTAGCTGGGACTACAGGTGTGTACCACCATGACTGGCTAATTATGTATTTTTGGTAGAGATGGGGTTTCACCATGCTGGTCAGGCTAGTCTTGAACTCCTGATCTCAAGTGATCCACCTGCCTCAGCCTCCGAAAGTGCTGGGATTACAGGAATGAGCCACCACACCTGGCCTCTTTGCAATTTGTTATTTTTGTTTTGTTTAATGCGTGCAGCTTCTCTAGAATAGCATTATATGCAATATAATTTTCTGTGTTGTCCAGTATATTAGCTAGTAGCTGCAAGTAGCTGGGAATGCAGCCTATCCCAGATCGGGATAGAGGACAAGGATCTGAATCAACACCAAACCATCAGTGATTTTACTTTTTAAAAGAAATTCTAGTGTCTCCCAGCCAACCCAGAAGGGGGCACTAGGGTACAAAGAGCTCTGGGGGAAGCCCGCCAGTTCTAGCTCAAAGAAAAAAGTAACATTCAAAGATGGTGTCTCAGTTTTAACCCCTCACTTTTCTCATCCCAACCCTCAAGTAACCCCATGGTGGTAGCAGGAACAGAAGAATCTTCACAAGAGACAATATGCTGAGAAAGGGGGAAAAGAACTAGGGTCTCCAACTGATGGATCTGTGGGGATTGAAATAAAATGAACAGAACCTAGGTGATATGGTTTGGAGTTATGTTTCCAGCCAAATTTCATGTTCAGTTGTAATCCCCGATGTTGGAGGTGGAGCCTGGTGGAAGATAATTGGATCATGGAAGCAATTTCTCAAGGTTTACCACCTTGCCCTTTAGTGCTGTCATTGTGATAGTGAGTGGGTTCTTATGAGATCTGGTTATTTTAAAGTATGTGGTCCCCTCCCCATCTCTTGCTCCTGCTCCAGCCATGTAAGATATGCCTACTTCCCCTTTGCCTTTCACCATGATTTTAAGTTTCCTGAGGCCTACCCAGAAGCAGAATCTGCTATGTTTCCTGTACAGCCTGCAGAATCATGAACCGATTAAACCTCTTTTCTTTATAAATTACCTAGTCTCAGGCATTTCTTTATAGCAATTCAAGAATGGAGTAATACATCAGGGATCTATGGGACGGTAACAAAAAGATCTAGCATCTGGTCAGTGAACTTCTAAAAGCAAAGAAGAAGAGGATGATTAAAAATATCTGAAGAAATAATGTCAAAAACCTTCCCAAATCTGACAAAGGACATAAAACTACAGGTTCAAGGTCAGTGAATCCCAAAATGAATAAACACATAGAATTCCACACTCTCACACATCATAAAGTGTTACAAATGAAACACAAAGAAATTATTATTATTATTATTTTGAGACAGAGTCTTGCTCTGTTGCCAGTCAGGCTGGAGTGCAATCGGGCGTCATCTCAGCTCACTACAACTTCTGCCTCTGGGCTCAAACAACTTTCCTGCCTCAGCCTCCCTAGTAGCTGGGATTACAGGGGCCCACCACCACGCCTGGCTACATTTTGTATTTTTAGTAGAGACAGGGTTTCATCATGTTGGCCAGGCTGATCTCAAACTTCTGACCTCAGGCGATCCACCTGTCTCAGCCTCCCAAAGCGCTGGGATTACAGGCATGAGCCACTGCGCTCGGCCTAGAAATTATCTTGAAAACAGAGAAAAACAATCCATAAAATATAGGGGGGAACACCACTTCAAATGAAAACAGGTTTTTCAGCAGAAACCATGAAGGCCAGAAGGAAGTTACACCACATTTTGAAGTGCTGAAAGAAAGAAAACTATCAAGCTAGAATTCTATATCCAGTTAAAACATAGTATCTTTCAGAATGATCATAAAACCAAAGATATTTTCAGATAAATGGGAACTAAGAGAATTTGCTACCAGCAAATTTAGAACAACAGACCTGTTCTAAAAGAATTGCTAAAAGAAATTCCTCACACAGAAAAGTGATACCAGAAGGAAACTTGGAAGAGTAGGTTGAAGAGTAATCAAAATGGTAAACATGCAGACAAAGATAATACATAAACCCTCTCCTCTGAGTTTCCTTAAATATGTTTAATAGTTCAAAGTAAAAACAAAAGCATTGTCTAATGAAGATTTCAATTAATGAAAATGTAATTTGTAGCCAACAATAAAAGAAAAGGGGAAGATAAGATAAAGAGACCTAAGTAGTTTTAATATTTCTTTAAGTGGCCATAATCCACTTAAAGAAATAAATTTATTTTAAGCAGGTGGTGAAAATGTTAAATCTGTTTAATGTAATATCTGGAGTGATCATTAAAACTATATGGAGAATTAAGAATTTTTAAGCCACAACAGGTAACTTAAAACAGAATGACTAAAAATTGTTCAAATAGCCTAAAAGAATGCAGAAAAGACAGAGTAATGGAAAACAGAAGAAGCAAACAGAAAACAAATTATGAAACTGCTAAACCTAAATCTAAACATGCCAAAATTACATTAAGTGTAAATGGTCTATAGATATAAACAAAAAGACAAGATTGTTATAAGGGACTTTAAAAATGACGCAACTATATGTAGTCTACAAGTAAGTCACTTCAAATATAATTCACATAATAGAAAGCATAACTAATGTATATGCACTTAATAATGGAGCGTCAAAGAATATGAAGTAAAAACTTACAGAACATTAAAAATAGGAAACAAATTCTTAATTATTAATTATTTGATGACTTCAGCACTCCTCTTTCAGTGATA